ATCCGCCGAAACGTCAGCTTAATCGTGAACAAAGAATAGTAACACCTCGCGTTTGCTCAACAAAAATACGAACAAAATCAGTTGCCTATTAACTTTAAACACCTCTGGGCTCACGGAGAACATTATTAAGTGGAACAAAAACCCATAAAGTTCAGTTGATCTTTGCTAGTAAGAAACACATGTTGTCATTTCACAATTGTAATTTTAGACCATTCCATTGTGTCGTTGATACTTGACGCCGTTAGATTAACAGTAGACTTTTTGAACTTAAATTTCATCAAACTTTTGTCTTGGACTTGGGAAATCTAATTCTAAACAATTTCAAAACATAAGAACAACGATAGGGATACTGGGATATGAGCAAAACTTGTTACCTCAGTTGGATTTTGAACCCACGACCACCCACCCTTACCGGGCTCATATCTGTGCTTTTGCTCGTATCTCAGCGTTCATGGTTGTATTTCACATCGTACCCCACCATGAGAAAAGAATAAATAAGAAATAAAAGCTAAAACTTACACAACACTGCAATGATGCTGAGATATATTCAAAAACCCGAAGAGCAGGTGTCTGCGGTTGGGATCGTACTAGCTATTACCCTATCCGGTGCTAGTTCGTTCACCACTACACCATGTTGGGACTTCGTCACGCCTTCCTCTCAGCTGTGTTTTTAACTTATAGGCGCAGCAATCATCCCTCAACGGGACTGATCCGGGGAGCACAAATCGGCATTGAACCCAGTTAAGCTGAAGCAGCGGTATAAATCTCAATTTCGCCACTTTTTATCTACTGCCCATTGTTTTCTCAATGGCAGGCTATAATGTGAAATATAACTGAAATGGTGCTGAGATGTTTGCAAAACTCCTTACCTCAGGTGTCCGACACTACAACACCAGAATTTCGTGCTCCACGGCCAACATTTTGCGCCCGCTGTGGACGGTCGAGCACACTGTCTTAACACGAATATTTTCACCTGTGATATAGTTCCGCGGTCCTTCAGCCCTTCGTCGTTGTTGTTTCTGATCAGTTACCAGTCAGTCAGTCCTGCTCCAGTTCATCGGCCATCGATGTAAATCTGTGGAAGTTCTGAAATCCACCATCATGCTGAATCTGGTATTCCATCCAGCTTCGATTCCTTCTGTATGTGGCGGTAATTGTGCGTGGTTCCTGCTTAGCAGTTTCACTTTGTTTTCGTTAGTTTAAAAATGTGACGACGAGAACTACATGTATGGTTATCTTTAAAAAGTCTTGGCATGGTCGAAGCTGTGTTTACACAAAAATTCAGGGTATAGAACATTTGGCAGATTATCCCTTGAAAGTTTACCTGCGCTGACACTTTGCAAAGCCTGTTTTGCGGAATTATGTGCTTCCACTTTATGCCTAAATTTCCGGAACAAAACTTGGCAGAGTGCTTCACTAAGGTTTTGTCACCGTTTTTGGTGTTAGAGCACCCATGAGCGGTTCGCGTGTCAGGCCTACGGGTCTGGATGTGTTCACGGTCGATAACGCTTTAGTACGCTGAGCGAGCAATCTGTTATCTATCGATCTTCCCGATATCGATTCAGTGAAGCGATCGGAGCGGTTTATTGATGACCATTTTATAGATTGTAACTTTGTATATCTGGTTCTTTGTATAGCTGATTTTTCATCCTCACCAAATATTTTGCAGCTACACGTTGATGCCGACCACATTACAATTTCAGCAGTGAGAAGACAAGCGTTCCCACTACTTCGATTGATCTGCACTAGCTTATCGTTAAATGCAGATGATCCAAGTTCACACAAAGAGGGAGGAGTCAAGCAACGCTTATTTCGAGTTGGTTCCTGGAATAGTTGGGTTACGTATTGCTTTAATAAGTGGCACGTTAGCGCATTTGTTAGAGTTGCTCTACAATACATCCTGGATCAGTTGCTGGCTCGATTTGTCATTCAGGACTCACCAAGCCTTCCATCCTTCCGGGTTCGGTAAACTGGTACGAGACTTATCTGGGAAGGTAGAAACACTGAAATGGTACATCGGCAGGCCACCGCGAGTTGGTTTATGAGTCAGATATGCATTTAGTCACCTTTAACGATGTTTAACGAAATTGAAGGCGTGGCGCATCCCTCAGGGGTCTAACCAACGCCGAATGCTTTATCCTTTCTCCTTTATTCCTTTAATAGTGCAGGTATCCCTTTATAGAGACTTCTGCAGTATTTTTATGCTTTTATTGACTTAAGTTTACGATCGTTCTTCAAACGGGAAAGGTTACATGTAAGAAATAAATAAATGATCACCAAGTTTGACACAAAATTTCTTTAAAACGAAGTACAGTGTTGGACGTTATCAATCCTCTACGGGTGCGATATTCGCTGAACTTTATTAAACATCGTAAAGGTGATTGATTGCACATTTGGTCTAGACTGTGAACTGAAGGAAACATTGATGTATTTTGTCAGTTCGATGTCTTTGTCCTCCCAGACAAGTGTGGTAACGATTTGCCGATTTTCAATAGATGGGACCTCGGTTAGCTCTGGGAGTTGGGTCGAACATGCATTCCAGAGCACTTTCAACTACCGGGCTGCAATGTATGCTTTAGGTTATCCCTAATCTCTTGAAGACTTCCTGAAAAGTTTATTTGAGAAGGAACTTCATTGTACATATTGGGTCTAAAATGTTTTACCTTTTTGTTTGTTGATTGCAAAACATTCTTAGCCGCTAAGAAATTATATTTTTTTGGAAGGCTCGATTAATTAGGATTTTTCCTATGATGTGACTTTCTTCTAGTTATCCATATTAAGGTAGCGCGATCGTCGAGGAAATACAGATCGTACGAGGATGACAAGATTGATAAATTGCGTGCGATGGCCGAATTCGGACTAAGGTATGTTTTCTGTGAGGTGGAGTTACAGCTTGCAGTTTTGAAGCTTCAAATTGTTACGCGGTATTACAATTTTGTTTGTACCTCAGAGAAGAACACTTTGATGATTTGCCGAGTGAGCCAAGGCCAGTCAGAAGCACCGCTTACTCGTCTAGTTTTAGCAATAATCTTTACGCATTAACCGATGTTTACCATAAAGCACTAAAGGTGAGCTGCATGAGGCCACTTATACCGTGTGTTTTCATTATGATCTATTCCAGAAAATCCTGAATTGTTGTTCTCGCACGTCTTCTGGTGCTAGAGAATTAAATACATTGTTATCGCGCAGGTTCACGGTAGCAGTGAAGCGTTAGATGCCCACCGGCGACCGCTATTGACGATGGGTAAAGAGTTGACGGATGCGGAGCGAATGCGGATGCGTATGAGAGTATGTTATGGTAGTATTTTTAGTAATGTATATTTCTTTTTTAGTTAGATTGGGTCAAATTATTGGCAACACTTACGGATTTTTGAGTTCCACGCCGTTTTGTGTGTCTTGGGCGAAACTTGAACCAGCTGCGTAACACGCGTTGTGTTTCGCTGTTTGATACACACCTCATCGTGTTGTTTCGTCATTAACTTTCATTATACCGCAAAAATATTTCCGGAGCGAACTGTGTATGCCTCTACTACTAAACTGCGGAAAAGTACTTATATACTTATACTGAAATACTTAGCCTTTCAGTGATTTACCGCCTTATCGTGGTTAGGAGGTGTTTCTGGGTATTGGGTTACGGTGTACATTGGGGGAATTTATTCCCCGGCAAGGTCTTCCAAGCTGAGAAGGAGTCCGGTGTTTCCATCAGGAATCCCAGCTTAGAGCAAACCAATACCAAGATCCACTACCGTCCAAGTATCAAGCTAGTCGTATGGTGGCAAATCTCCCTCTGATCCACAAGAAGGGCGACGACTACCTGTGTTAGTGACGACCTGGCGCGGACTTTGCCCATGCCGACCTCCAGGGAAATACAGTGGCTAAACCAGCAAAACTCCGAAAAATGGAAGATATGCTGGGGCTTGCACAACCAATGAGGACGGGCCGTCTAAGTATCCAACTAAGTAAGAAACGCATGTACACTTATATGACCAGTCTTCAAGTGACACGGCTATCCAGGCATGTCTTTCATTAGCTTCTTTGTATTAGAACCGTCTTCAGAAGTGGTTGAAACTGTCTGGGTTCTGCTATAACCTGGCAATCTGTTGTATTTTATCGCCATTGACATGTTAAGTGCTTGTAGAGAGTGATTTCAGGGGGAAGCTCGATATAATCGTGCTAAAACGTTGCCAATTATTTACCGTTCAGAAAGCTACTTTTTCATATAGGTCGGAGTGAGGTTTACCTCTGTTTGACTTGAATTTTTCCTTGAACGAAATGCATTTGTATGATAGTGTCGAGTCCTATTAATTTACTGACCGTTCGAGGAAGTTGCAGTTGCCATAACGATGAGTTGTTAATAAGTGTTTAAAATTCTCGACAGTGTATATTCCTCAGCTATTGTTCCACTTGGCGATTAGTGGAAAATTTATGTTTTACTGCAATTAGTTATTGAAAGGGCAGAAATAGACAAGAGAGGAATGAGGATTTTTCGTGTGGTCATTAAAATTTTACCTTTGTATTGCCTTATTGCGTGTATTAGTTGTAGTTTTTAATATAGTTTGGCCTAATACTTTATGTTACTCAGGTGGAAAGTACGTCAGTAAGCAAAGGAGCTGATCGAGTAGTCGCTATAGCCTTCACACTTAATGCTTGTGATGCTGCCTTTAAAGTCAGTACGTTTGTCCTTTGATGATGTCAGCTTGATTCTTTTCGCTTTGTTATGCTAGAAGTATCTTTGTAGTATACTGCTGCATACTTAACGGGGTCAAAATCGTTATTTGCTGAAGCTATCCACAGTACAATGGACACTTGTAATCAGTTAATTCTACTTATGGGCATAAGATTTTCGGCCAGGAATCCTGACAAGTTGTTTCCGTATGGTTATGGTGCGTTTGTACAACTTCAAGAACGAAAGCTTATAAACAATTTGCGTTGTTCGAACATCATTCCTGTTGAGGAAACATGCGATATGTGTCAGCATTGATTTCTGGATGCGGTATTATGGCATTTGGTTGCGGACTGTCGATCTATCATGGTGTTTCAGGGTTGTTGAACCCTACGGAATTGGAGCCGCTTAATTATGTCAGTCTGTTCTTGTTCCGTTTAGTGCTATCCCATTTCTAGCAATATTCTAAATGTAGTTTTATTGCATGTACCTGCTAATATTCTGTATAAGCATATTTTTAAATTGTTGAGCTTACACGATGTTGATATCCTGTATCCTGTACAAGAGTAGCACATAATGAGATTGGCTCATTCGAGTAGTGCTCCACTGAAGAAGATGCGACTCAATACGAAGACGAAGACGGCACATCGAGAAGACGAACGACCGTGGACCATCAAATCGGATCAGCAACTCTGAGGCAGACAAAGACGTCGAAACGTTAACCGGAAAAATATCTGTATTAGTCTCTTGTAAGCTCAGCAATTTAAAAACATTTTGGTTGTTTCACTACTGAGCTTAACGATCGGTTTGAAAAGTGTCTGTATAAGCAGTCCAACTTGAGAAGTTCTCAGTTTCAATTCGATTCATATCTGTTTTTTTGGCCGGTTTTCGTTCTTCTTAGATTAGAAGTTTCCGTTTGAAACTCGTTTATTCGGAATTATACAAAGTGCCGATCTTTTTTAGCCGGTGAATTTTATTACTCTTCATTTTGCTTATTAACGACTTTCTTAGGCCTATTATGCGTTATTCATGTCGTTGTGCTTTCAAGGAGCGTCAGCCATCACCGCATACACTGAGGTGATGCGGAAAGCAAGGATAGCTCAACTCAGCATTATTAATTACGGTGAGAAATCTGTTGTTTTATTAGTCTTCTTATTTGTAGTCCTGATATGATAGTTGGCAAAATACTCATCGAAAGCAAAGCTGTTCGCTTTTCGAATTGAGTCGACCAGATATACCTTGATGAAAAAGATGTGAGCTAGGAAAACTAACTGCGCTGTAGTAGAGGTCTTCTCTTTCATCAAGAGTTTTCCATAGTTGCTGAGAAATCGCAATACATCTTCACAACGAATTTTTGTCAGTGTTTGGCAATATCCTCCCAACCGTTTACCGCCTCATCGTGGCTGGGAGGTGTTCCTGGGTGTCGGACTGCGACCTACAGCGGAAGGTTCATCCCTCTGGCAAGGTCTCCCAGGTTGGGAAAGAGTTCGACGTTTCCATCAAGAAGCCCAGCTAAGGGTAAACCAGTACCAACATCCACCACCTGCCTGGTAACAAACTAGTCGTATCGTGACCAGTCTACCTCTGATCCACAAAAGCGGCCTGTGGTTGTGACGACCTGGGGTAGGTTTTGGCCAGGCTGACCTCGAGATTCTAGGGAAACAAAGGCTAAACCAGCAAAACTCCGAGAAATGGAAAATATGCTGTGGCCCGCACAACCAGTGAGGACAGGTCGTTTAAGAATCCAAGTAAGTTTGGCAATGTAGCCTGTTAGGTTATTGATGGAGAACACAGATTTCTGTTTCAAGGTCTGGTCGACTTATTTGTATTTAAATTTTTTAGTTAGAACAGCAGCCGATCCATCTCTAAACGTAGTTTTGCTGGAAGACACTGCGGCAGTCACTGGTGTATGCGTTTTTAGCATTTGTTCTGAATTTTATGAATTATAACGAGTGATATCGAGTTTATCTTCACTAGTTAGGAGCGTATTGGTGAACTAACCGTTTTAAATTTTGTGAAGTTTCAGGTAGGAATTGCTCTTTGTGCCGTTTCGTTGTCTTCATTGCTAGAGTCACCTATTCCTGATTCGATTGGTTCAATTTTGATTGGATGCTTACTAGGTGATGTGCTTTCAGACTTGAATTATTTGAGACGTTAGTACTCATTTAATTGTCTTTTGATAGTATAAGTATAGTGTTTGGTATTGGGACACTGTATTTACATCCTTTTAATGTATTGCTTTGACATGTAATCGTACTATCTAGCAGCTCATATGGACACCAGCGAAGTTCTAATTCTTCCCTATCGCGTGCCATAGCTGCACCATAGGCTCTGATCGTTTAATGAACATAAGAGACATCGCACAGTTCGTATGAGATCCTTTAGTTTAACTGCTTTTGGAGAAACTGTGTTAATATGTAGCTTCTAGTTCTTTCTTGGAGTTGGCTTATTGCGCTGGGTTTTTTGTTGCAAAGGAATTTGAACAACAGCTGACTATTTCTTTAAAGATTTTGGACGGATCGGCTTGTGAGATACAGTTATCGCGAAAAGGCACCTCGCAACACGTGAGCGTGAATATGATTATATGTATGTGTAAAGTATAACTCATATGCAGTGGAGGTGCGAAGTCTATTTCCTTATTCCACCTGTTTGGTAGACAAGGTCGTTCTTGGTGCAGTTTTATCCCTCTCCCATCCTCTGGGAGACGAAACCTGAGATCCATAGTAGATCCTTGGGTTCTGCTAACTCTCAAAGATATTTCGAAATATTTTTGAAACTTTACCTGTAATAACCAACGGTAACATGACCGATACTAAAGTTCCGAAGAACGCTCTCTGTTTTCGATATATTGTCAATCTTAGAAGTTACGATTTGGCATTGTTTAGTACCTGAATTTGCTAGACTGATTAGATTCTCTCTAGGTACTGTAGCATCATTCATTATTCGGACAAATGCTGCTCACCTCGTTGGCCGAAGCTTACCCAAACGAATTACCGACGACATTGTTTGTCGTTTGAACAACGATCCTGTTATACGGTGAGTATATAAACAGCGATACATTTCATATCCTCTTTATTTGGTGCACTTCTACAATTATTGTTTGAGAGACAAACCCGTTATCGCGGTGGAGCATCTTATCTTATTCCAAATGATCAAGTTATTATACATGCAACATTTCAACATATCAGTTATCGTGGAAGTTAAACAAGTTAAAGGATTGGATTCATGCAAGTAAAGTATAATCTTGTGGGATCCACTTGAGAACAACATATCACAGGATTTGATAGTGCTAATATATAAGATCGAGGAATGAGTAATGGAAAAACTGAATAGTGTAACACTGAACAGTGCGTGCACAGTTGATTGTCAGTTTGATTTTGGGTTGTGCATTGGGTCAGTAAACTATTCAGTGTATCCCTGTACTAGGTAGTATTGTAGTGAACTATCAGCTAACTTATGACGATGGTTAACGACGGCGTGGTGTGAAGTGAGATTATGATGCCGAAAGTTCCCTTGTTTTTCAATATTGCCAATAACGGAAAGCTACAAGATTGTTGAGCAGAATTCCTAGTTTCGTAATTTTGAGCTGCATTAGTAAGTACTACGCTTGGGATCGATCTGTTGAGGCTTTTTATGTTGACCTGTAGGACTGATGATTTCAACGTCGCGTGATGATGAACATCACGCACTCTATTGCTTCTACATGGTGCCGGACTGTATTATTTGAAGTAGTAGAAGAAGTACATTTGAGACTCATGAGATCACTGTAGACATTTTTGGGTTCTTAGATCAGTACACGATGTAAAAGCCACGGCATTGGGCGTTGAGCAGTCGAGATTCAAGGCCGAGTTGGATTTCAACGGTCGTGAAATTACGCGTGTCTATCTTCATCATAACGTGGATATGCCGTCACTTCTGAAAGTAAGTATTGTGCATTCCAGCTACATTAAAATGTTCATTTGAATTGTGATAGTCGCTATGTTGTATGATTATCTGAGGTTTTTATTCACTCATGCATCTCACTATTGCTTTCTGTTTTTGGGCTATAGACTCCCGAAATAAGTTTGATTTTTGGTTTTAGGAAGTTAGAAATCTGAGAAACGAAAAGGAATTGGAAGAATTCATGGAAATACATGGAGAAAAAATAATCGATCGGCTTGGTGATGAAGTCGACAGGATCGAGAGTGAGATTACGAAAAAGCATCCTGATATTCGACATGTTGATTTGGAAGCATCATAACGGCCATAGAAATTGATACCGGGTGTCAGAAAAGTTGCATACGAAAACAATCTATAAAACGACTCACATATGATTTTTGAGACCTTTAAAGGTAAATTCCCACGAATCTTTGCAAGTACTTCACATTCAAGGTATATGTGCCTCAGTCTGATTCCTTTGTTGGACCATGTTCAGAATCTTCCATAGAGCGTTGTAGCAGTTAGGTAAGCCTAACATTTTTAAATGGATGGCGGATCGTCATTCGTCTACATTTTGAAAGGTAAAGCATTATTGTACACTTGTGCTAACTTAGAGCAAAGGTTTCGAAGGTTTCCTATAAGTAGTTACCTAGTTTTCGCGTTTCTGTTAACCATGGAAGGTATGAAAATTTGTTGTAAAAGCTGTTTCTCTGCTCTTTCAAACTGCTTTCTCACCAGTAGAATTTTTTTATGATTCTGCTAATTCTTTGCGTTATTTTCTAGATATGGGATATTACTACTTTAATACCGAAGGGAAATACGGACTCTTCAGCTTGGAGAGGCGTTACAGATCGACGAACGTCTAGCTTTACATCATAGCTCCACACTTAGCAACACTTTAGAGGAAAAAAAAGAATAGGGAGTCTAAGATAGTAGGTTCTGATGGTGAAATAAACCAGTCGAGGTGAGAAAGATCAGGCGAACAGCTTAGAGTAACAGTGTAAAAGCAGGCATGCTTTATGTATCTGGCCGAAGAGGAGCATTTTTGCAAAAGCTGAGTTTTCATACCTAGACTACACAATCATTCCTATCGGTACCATATTCCTAGCCAGATCAATACATGAGATATGGCTGTACAATCGATATGTGAAAGACCTTTAATAGGTTGGAATAGCTGTGCTAAGCCGTAATGTGTTTTTCTTGGTATATTTTCCATTGCTCCGTTCGAGTTTTCCAATGAGGTGAGACGCTACATTATTGCGGAGTATGTTTTCGTACGATTTTTTAATAAACTTCCTAGAAGCTACGCAGTAATTTTATAAATCTAGTTCACTAGTCATCCTACTTATACTGTGTCATTCATATGCTAACATGAAAGTAATGATTGGACTTGGTGGGACCACATAAATCAAGCATCTGATTGTGAGTGGTTCGTAACATTGGTCTCGTTTTTTCGTTTTTTTTTTGGCAATAAATATTGATATTGTAAAATTTTATAGTGGTGTGGTATTTTGGTCTGTTCGTCGCTTAAACATTACCCGAAGTTTAAGGTTGTTTACTAACAATTATGAAATTTATACCATGAGATGATTATAAGTTCTTCTGTTCTGTAAACTAGTGTACTTTCCACCGAGGATGTTTATGCTCACTCACACAAGATGTAGTTCCTGAATTTATGATGAGATCCCCAATGTGCTGATGCTTTCTTGACATCGGTTAAGCACGTACGTGAGCACTCTTATTTGATATTATAGTGGAGATGATAGTGTGTCATGCCAAGCACGACTGATGATCTCATCAGTTGTAGTGACTGTAGAACAACAGCTTGGTGATTACGACAAAGTAGAATAAAGTCATACCGATTATGTACCACACAGTTGAACACATGTTACAGCGAAAAGAATGGAAGGCTTCGCGTTGGCTTTTCCAAAGTAGTCTCTTGGTAGAAAGCACTACTACACAGTTGAACTGTTCGCATATACATGGTCCTCACACAACGGCCTACCGCCTCATCGTGGCTGGAAGGTGTTTGTCGGGCTGCGATGCACATCGGTGGGATTCAACCCACCTCCTCTCCTCTCCCAATCCTAAAGAGCAGCGGTAATGGTCGAAGCTGCAGAGGCTGGGAAAAGCATACGCAAAGCCCACCGAAGCTTCGCCAATTACAAGACCAAGATGATTGCACTCCGACGCCCAGACGGGGCAGTTACAGCGTCCATAATGGCAATGGAGAAAATCATTCACGAATACTGCTCGGATCTCGATAGCCACGTCCACCTTCCGTCATATGAAATAAAGGAGGATGGATATGTTGTACCACCGGTTCTCCTTTTCGAAATCCGACATGCCATTCCGTCGGTGAGAAATCGAACAGCACCAGGTCTGAACAACCGCCAGTCCTCGTAAACACACTGGCTCGACCCTTCACACGTTACCTGTCTGAATGCAAGGTCCCTACTCAGTGGAAGACCAGCAAGACCGTGCTAATATTTAAGAATGGTGACTTCCACGATATCGGCAACTATCGCCCAATCTAGTTACTACTTTTCCTGTGTAAACTGTTCCTTCGAGTCATTCTAAACAAAACTGACAGAATACTGGAACGAAGGACAGCCATATGAGCAAGCAGGGCTTTTAAAGGATTTAGTACAAGTGACCACATTTATACGATAACAAGAGTCATTGAAGTATCACGAGAGCACAGAAGACGGCTCTATCACACTTTCGTCGATTTATAGAAAGCTTTTGACTCAGCAGAGATGTAAGTAGTCGTGGAAGCCATGGACAATCAGGGCGTCCATGGTTATCTTGGAAGGATTCTTTGTGAGCCTCGTAAACATTTCAAAAGCAAAATATCACTATTCTGTATCGGTATTACCATCAACGCCAAAAGAGTGGTTAGGCAGAGCGGTACCATGTCACCAACATTGTTTACCTCCACACTCGCGAACATCGTGCGAACATTAGAATGGGATATTATGGTAGTGAAAATCGACGGTTGGTAGTTACACCATTTTGGCTTTGCTGATGACATCGTTCGTGTAACATGAAGCATTAGCCAGGAGGAATGAGTTCCTGCCGGCTTTGATAAAGCCTATGGAAAGATTGGTCTTCGACTAAGTCTCATAAAAACGATGTTCATGAGGAACGGATTGGTTTCGTATACCCCATTCACGCTCAACGTAACGAATATCTCCGAATGCTCCACTTACGTCTATGTAGGTTGGAAAATCAACATGATGAATAATGACTTAGCTTCAAAATTAAGTTGGAGGAAACGAGCGGCTTAAGGAGCTTTCAGGAGCATCGGAGATGTAGTGAAGAGAAAAAACAGCCGACTCCATGCCCACATTTTCGACTTCGGGATTCTTCCTGGCTTAACGCATGCGTCAGATAGCCGGTCACTACTTAAGTAGGATGAAGGATCACTCAACATTATAGGACGCATAATCGAAGGAAGTTACCCGTAGGTCAGCAAGTCAGGGAGAGGATCCGAAGCTGCGACCTACGTCAGCGATCGAAAGTCATAGACAGCGTTCTCTACGCCAAGTAGTCGAAGATCAGGTAGGCCGGACACGTAATGTGTACGAACGAACTTGATGGACAACAGCCGATAGCGACGGAATTCCTCGGAATGTCAAACGCACGACGGGAAGGCCACCTTTCCGATGGTCAGAGTTCTCATGAAACACTATGAGCAAGATGTTATGCTCAACGAACTCCTAGAGGGAATAGAACCCACTAGGTTAGCCTTGCACGTGACTGTGAGAGGTGGAAGGTTTACAGGCGTCCGCTCAAGTCACTCGACGATCAATTGGACAAGTGGTGATACAAGTGACTATTGTAACTGATACTATTATTATCGAAATTGTCATTATTTGTAGAAGACAGGCGAAACGAAAGTCCCGCATGGCATTGTGGTGAACGCGTTAGCCCACGGAAAGGGTAACAGCGCGTTCGTTCCCCACCGCAGACACTTGCGGTCCGGAGTTTTGCAAATGTCTCAGCACCACTGAAGTTCTATTGTCTTTATTATTATTACTACTGTTATTATTATTAAGTGCGCGTGTGGCACAGTGGTCGTAGGCGCCCTGCAACACACACGTGGAATCGACCCCCGAGCCCATGGCCCACTAATTCTTCCATCCTTTCGGGGTAGGCAAATTGGTACCAGATTAGTCTGGGAGGATAGTGGGAGGATGGTAGTTCTGGCTCGATTGATCGGTAGGCCACCGCGAGTCATTGTAAAGGCCAGATATGCATTCAATCACTTCCAAAGGGTGCTTCATGAAGTTGAATGCATGGCGCATCCCTCAAGGACTGATCAACGCCGAGAGTTTATCCTTTTTATTATTATTATTATTATTATTATTATTATTGCTATTGTCATTATTACTATTATTATTATTATTATTATTATTATTATTATTATTACCACCATAGAGTAACGTAAATGTGACACAGATAATAGGAAACAATCTGAGATGTTTGATATAGAACCATTTGGAATTTAATCGTATTTGATGAGTCGACTGAGACTGGAAGCCGGAAATTTCTGCTGTTAAAAAAAATCTATTTGGAATGAATATCCAATCTTTGTGGTCTCAGAAAACATCTAGCCATTATGCCACAGCACGACACTGTATTGTGAATTGTATGAAACTAATTAAGAGAATCCATCAACCTTCTTTCCTAGACATTTTGCACCAAAACATTGACAGAAACTCGCTTGTTTCATTGTTTACATCGCCTTTCGACATCCCATTTTTCGTGTTCATCATCAGCAGAAATTTAAAATGTGTATATTGATAGTGGAATATGAGGGTTTTGATATGGTATAGTTAGCTGAAATACCCATAAAAACTAGAATACAACGAAGCAGCAGTTGACAGCAAATATGCGAAAACCAAAATGGCATTCGGAAACTATCTGGGAGACTTGGTCCTTCGATCTTGTTTCAATACTATTGAGATATCTGCTTTTTTTCCTTCCCTTTAGTTTCGCAGTTCTTTATTAGAGAATCAGAAGACGTCATTAAAGGGTTAGATTTAGATGGTTACTGTAGTGTATTGAGACTGCTTCGTTATTAGTAGACGACCTGGGAAAGTTCTGTTAGTCGATTTTATGGCGATGATTTTCTGCAGTAGGTGAACTATGGTGCGATAGAGCCAACCTATGGGTGCTCTGTCTAGTTAGACATTTTCTGAACACACTTTACTCCAGTTGTTCTTCGATTTCATTCAATAGTGAGCAGTAGAATGGTTTATTTTTGTAATCCTTAAAGGGGAATTGGTTCGTATAGATCTCTCTTCGCAAAATTCCCAGTGTTGAATGAATTTCTTTATAATATGTTTAAAGGACAATCTGAATAGTGCATAGATATGTTCTTGTGTAAGTGCTGACAGATTTCCGAAAGATCTTGGGAGTGATGAACGCATTGTTCATTTCAGGATATCCTTTCCATAATAGAGAAGTTGGTAGTAATAGAACTTTCGATCTGTTAGGGAGCGGTAATTACAACCTACGGTTAGTATTCATTATTTTTCTTATTTTTCATTCATTGAACATATTTTTCTTTCCACTTCTACCGACATTTTTCCTCTTTAGGAGTTCCATAATCATTGACTTCTATGTTAGGTGTTCAGAAGTATGTTGAATAGAGGTTAACCTTGTCCAGCTAAGATGTCGAGACTATCTCTAAGCAGATAATTTCGTTCGTTCGCAGATTATTTTTCAATGTGAAATGAACTGACCTCATAGTAGCTCAGTAGTAGTGAATTTCTCATCAATAGTTGTATCATCAGGCGGAGTTCGTTTGTAAAACTGATGCATTCGCCATTTTCGTAGGATGTAACGTATGCAGTACTTTACAGTGATAGCGAAAAAGAACAGTGATAGTAGTATTGCTGTGCTGATCCCCACCCATGGGTCGTAAGCTTTGTAGAAATCGGCTTCCGAACGTGCTGGATATACCTAGAGATCGAATTTACGTATACAGTATGCCATCGCCGGAATACTATACTTTGATAGACGTTAATATTTTTAAATCTGAGGATTTGTTTCGTACTACGGAACTGGATGGTTTATTCCATTAATATGGAATGATTATTGAAATTACTGGGAATTGGAATAAGAATAAGAGAAAGAAAAGATTTCAAATAGTTTTAGTTTTTTCGCTTCTGTGAAACCTTGAAACATGAATGAATACCAACCAGCATTCCATTTTGGGTTGTTAAGAGTAGCCAAAACTAGAACAAAGTTGGAACCCAGACAGAATGCTGGAAATTTGAAGTGAATAAAAAAAGATGGGAACAAGAGTGTTTCTATGGTTTTCGCTTAAGCTATGACTGGAAGAAATCGTTTCATCTGGTGGGTGTCGACATGGGAATTCGACGTCATTCGCATAGAACTGAGTTGTGATTTTGCAAAATAAACGGTACATTGCTTTCATTTCTTTCTCGAACTGGTTATACTGGTTATAAAATCCTTAATGACTTCATCTGACAAAAGATTGGTCCAAATAAACCAAGGTGAAGCTTAATGCTATGACTTAATTTGTGAATCTTAACGAAAATCATTGTTTGACTATTCTACGATGTAATCCAGAACTAATATAGTCTGTGCTTCGCTCACTTCCATGAAATCCCTCTTTTCGACGCAAAATGGACATCGTTTGGGCATATCACTATCGCTGCTGATAAGACGGTGGCGGTGGCGTTGTTAATGTATTCGAGTCAGTCAGTCAGTCGTTCCGAACACTCGAACATGGGCCAAACCAGCTCACAACTGCCTGAACACCAACTTGAGCAGCTCAGTATCGAGAGCGGACGTGAGTCTGAATAGTTCCTTCCTTATATAATGATTATCTTCTTGCCAAATTTGTTATCACGTATGCATTACTTTATTCAAAAACATAACAGGATAAAAAGTGAAGTAACAGTTAAACTAAAAAAGCAAATTTGAACAAGTAGAGGGATAAATAAGTTTTTAAGAATATGTGTTATAAGATTTTGCAGAAGTAGGTTGCACTGACTCTCAAGTAATACGGGTTTTATTATAGTATTGAAAATGTTGATATGGATAGTTGGGAGATCGAACTAGTATAGAAATGATTACATTTACTCCAGTGGAAACTTTTCTTCACTCTGTGAAAACGGCGTCAACAAATCTCCGTTATGTATAAGACCCCAGGGCGGTAGTTAGTTACGAGACCATATAGAACCTCCTACTATGGCTAATAAAGGATTAGAGGGTGACAAAAGGACCCACAAAAGTGGATATAAGGATGGGTTGTCAATCTATGCTGCGCAAAAGTGGCGTGTACTTATGTGTAAGAAGTATCAAAGCTTAAAACGTTCGGCGTCGATTAATTCCTCAGGGATACACCATGCATTTAACTCCACTAAGCATCGTTGGCTTTATTGAACGCATATTGGGCCAATACAATGACTTGCGAGAATGTCGTACCACTTTGCCATCTCTGGATGGATTGAGGGCTTGGCTGGCTCAAAGGCATTAAATGTAATTAGAAATCATGTGTGGGGTATTGAAAGGCACCACAAACCATTGTGTTACACACGCGTTGGCTCAAGTGTGGACATAATCATATGCATATAAATGTGGGTATATGCATGTGTTTATGCAGATTGCATCCTGCATATCGATTCGCTGAAAAGTTTTCGAAATGACTACGACTTGATATAAAGCGTCGCGGGTTTGGCTCCAACAAACAAACCCCGTATGTGTACATCGAGAGTCAGGCGAGCTATGCGAGAAAACTAGTACCCTCTTGCCAAAACAAAAATAGCAGATATGACGCGTGACGAGAGCTTTAGTGTCTTTTTGGGTCAACAGATTAGTGGGTTTAATGGTGATAAGGATAGGTATAAGCTATGTACGATGAAAAAATGTTTTAGGAAACAAGAAAAGCGAAAAAAAGTAAAGAGAATGCGAAATCTTAGATGCCACCAGTGTAGATATTTTGCTCGGTTGGTAGGTTAGATTGATCAGAAGGGAGTAAGATGAGAACGTTCCACATCCACAGTAGAAAAAGAGCTAGTTGGGACAATAGTGAGCAACTTCATGAAGAATGAATTATGATGATAATTGAGCTGCGGAGAAGAAAATCAAGTTTTTGTGTTCATTACGAGTTTTTAGTTCATTCTTTATTCCTGTTTTGTCTACGTTGAGAGGTGTGGCACGTCTACTTAGTGATGGTTTATCAAATTCTGAGCACAGTTATACAAATTTTCAACGGAAAAATGCTGTCTATGGATTGATGTCATTTGGAGGTAATCACTTGCTGCAGTAGATTTGAACGAGAAGGAACCCGAAAAACAAGAACGCATACGAGTTTGACCGGATTTCCATCAGTTACCGATTTTTTGCATGATCTACCCAATTGTCCTCACTTGTTTTTTAATTTATACCTTGCTTTTGTGATGTACTTCATATTGGAAAAGTCAATAATAACTAAATGGAACGCTACAACGGAACTTCATTGTGTGTATGAATTTAGTAATGTAATATTATACAAAGGAGAAGGAAGCGTAGTGATTAGTGATGCAGTCTATCAAGGAACGAGGTGCTGGTTCCAGCATCTTCGTAACGCTGTTTTCCAATTCATGTGGAACGACTTAGCTCGTCTGCTTCCAAGAATGCAGGAAAAATCGAGTCGAACAGTATTCTACGACATTCATAAAAGAGACATCACTCTTCAAGCATCAGCCGAAGCAACTAGCGAAACGTTTAAACACATTCGTGGATGATGGATGCGAAACAAATGAATCGAATGTAAGAAGTGATGGGTTCCGCACTGTAGATGTGGTGATGATTACTTACTTGGATACTTGAATGGCCCATGCTCACTGGTTGTGTGGGCCTTAGCACATTTTAAATTTTTTCGGAGTTTTTGCTAGTTTAGCCATTGCGGTTTCCTGGAGTCCCAAGGTTAGCCTAACTGAATCCTTCCTCATGTCGTCACCACATAGGCAGTCGCCGCCTTGTAGATTAGTAGGAGATTTGGTACCATGAGACTAGTTTGATACCAGAACGGTGTTGGATTGTAGTTTTGGTTTCTTTTAGCTGGATTTCCTGATGGAAACGCCGGACTCCTTCTCAGTTTGGAAGACCCTGTGGGAGATTACTCCCCCGCTGTCAGCCCGACACTCAGAAATATCTCCCAGTCACGATGAGGCGGTGAACCCTTAGGAGGATTTGATCATTTATCAGTCATTTCTCTAAGGATGTGATGACAGGCCATGTAGAAAAATATTATGGAATTATACAATACTATAAACATCTTCAAATATAGATGTATTTAGATGAAACAGTATAAAACATGGATAGGCGTTACATCGGTAACTTTGTAAGGACCATTCAAAGTAAATCAATATCAGTGGTAAATAAACTTATCTGTTAACTTTTCTTTGTGCAACTAGAAGGTCTTCTCTACTATTTGTATTTCACGATCACTTAATTGATCGACTCCACGATAATTTTTTGTACTTCGATGGTTTCTCATTGTGAGCTTCTTTTATCGTTTTGGTATTGATGAAAGTCAGAACTTCTTTCCTTCAGTAACTCGATTTGATTTTTAATATGCCGATTGATGGACTGCTTTAATGAGATTCAATTTTAAAACATTCAGCACAACCGATACTTATATTGCCCGTCCTGAAGAGGCTACGACCTCGTGTTGTCAGGGTGTTCCAAAATGATCACCTCCAACTGGCCCTGTTTTGAATCACATGGACGCTCCCACGCTGAAATGCGTTGATCTCGATATACTTTTCATACATGAAATTTAAAAGTAGATCACAATTTTTTTAGAGAAAGACTTCGTAGGGCACGACGATGAGGAAATCTATGTTTTCCTAAAGCATGTCTTGAAAAGGTGGCTATATCTTTTATAATGTTTAAGATGGATGAGGTTTATTAAAATATTGAACAGTTGCTCCATCTTATTTCATATGACCCGCATTCACGTCTACCGTGCGGAACCCAGCACATCTCTCATTCCACTCGCTTCTTCGCATCCATTGTCCTCCAACTTTTACTTGTGGCTTCGGCTACTGCTTGAGGATTTTCATCTCGCAGAATGCTGGTCGAATCTGTTCTCCCTAGAGTCCTGAGATAACCGGGTTGGAACGTTCCCAATTGAATTGCAGAGAGTGATTTTTTTTCCAAGACAAATCGGGTACCAGTTTCTCGACCCCAGAGGGATGAGAGACTTGGTTGGCCCGGAACGGAATCGAACTAACACCACGCTCATCATGACGGACACCACTACCACTGTGCTTTCCACTCCTATAGTAACAAATAGTTAGGAGCAATTATTTGTTTTATTCGTGGAACAAGTGAGAAGGAGCGGGAAGTTGGGCCGCCTATATTGGTAGTCGATTTTTTCAATGATAAAGTACGGTTTGGTATCCAATGAAATATTTTGAGTGTTCGGCAAATATCAATGTGAAAAGTATTGACATAACGTCTTATTATTAATTATTATATGGCAAATCTCCCAATATGATCAATAGTTTTGTAGATAGACGAACATTGGTAACACTTTGCAACATCTATGCGAGGAACGGAGAAGAGTAGGCGTGGGAGCTCCACCACTTTAATCCGATTCCTCTTCCAAATGTCCCACATGCAGATGGTAGGGTTAGTAGATGAGTTTCGTTGCAACTTGAAAATCCCTCGTCTTTTCATCCCAGTAATGCGTTGTGGTGCTTGTGAATCGTGGTTGAGCTTGGTTTCCTCATTTTTTTCTTTCCATGAAATTACCACCATAAAACTACTCATGCTGGGCCGCACCCTACTTTCTCATTTCCGTTAGCCAATCTCCGGCCGGAAGTTGGAAAATTTTTGAATCAAAAGGACGTTTGTTTCTTCCTTGAACAATCAAGAGTGCTCTAATGAACTTAATCCGCGAAGTGTTTCATAGTAAACAAAATCGATTACAAGAAACTGCT